TGTGTGTGTGTGTGTGTGTGTGTGTGTGTGTGTGTGTGTGTGTGTGTATTCAGGCTGGAGAGATAGCTTAGCAGTCAGGACCACTGGTTGCTCTTCCAGAGGTCCCGAGTTCAAGTCCCAGCAACCACGTGGTGGCTCACAACCATCTATAATGGGATTTGATGCCTTCTGTCATACAGGCACACATGCAAATAGATCATTCAAATACATAAACAAATACATTTCATTACTACATTTATTTATTCATATGTGTTGGAGATGTGCCAAGCATGCCAGGTGCCCTTGTAGAAGTTAGAGGACAGCTGTGGAAGTAGGTTCTCTCTTTCTACCTTGTGGGTCCTTGGGATCAAACTCGGGTTGTCAGGCTTGGGGACAATCACTTTTACCCACTAAGGGAGCTCAACGGCCCACAACCCATTCTTTTATGTAATTCTTATAGACTAATGAAAAGCACACATCTAATATAGCCCGTGTTAGTCTAAATCTATGTCACCTTGAAAACTGACTCTGCTGCCCCCACTTCCCAAGTGCTAGGCTCACGTGTGTGTGAGCCACGTCACCCAGCTAAATCACACAAATATTGGGGGGAAAACCCTTATGAAGAGATTGCCTATACAGGACTCCGTGTAGTTCATGCCTCACTCGGGGACCCAGAGCCTCCATGAAAGGGGCTTCCAGAGATGCGGGAACCAGCCTAGACTAGTTATGGATCGGAGCTGTCAAGGACTTTCATGAACACAGAGCCTGCTGGCCCCTCGGCTCCACTTTGCTCTTCAGTCTCCTCACCATTAGGCGGGGACACTGGGACTTTCCAGTGCTGTTGATTCCATGGTCAGTGGAAACAGCCTTGAACCCAGCATGCAATGCTCTAGGTGTTTAGAGTAACCACCTCACACACACACACACACACACCTACACACACACCCTCATGATCTGTGAAGGACTGAGCTGGGTACTGTGGTGTGCCAGTTTCCCTAATGCAGATGAAATAGTTTAACTGTTTTTGTCTTGTTTTGGTTTGTTTTTCAGAGTTTGTTCGGTAGTTGGTTGGTTGGTTCGGTTTGGTTGGTTTGATTTCGGTTCTGGTTGGTTTGTTTTAAACGGGCCGGTGAGATAGCCTAACAAGTAAGCAAACATACCAACCACCCAGGCTAACACCGTGAGTGCGGTTGTGGGAGGAGAGAATCAGCGCTGCAAGTCATCCCCTGACTTTCACACACACGCAGACACAGAGACACACTCAAGAAAAAAAAAATTTTTTTTAAATAATCGAACCGAGTTATACAAAAAAGTTTCCCTAGGAACTCAGTCTTTCAAGCGCCAGTCTCCCTGGGCTCTGAATAAAGAACCAATGTGTTTACCTGGTTATTGCCTGTGGGAAGTTCTGATCCTGGGCTCTGGCCAGTGGCTGAGAGACTGAGTAAAATCCCACCCACTTTCTCCAAACCAGGCCCCATCAGAAGACCCACAAAGCCAGGGATGCCCAGGGAGCATTGCCTCCCTACAATGGTGAGTTGGAAGGACTTGGTGCAGCCAAAACACCAGGCACTCTGTGGTCCTGAAGACAGTCAGGGAGGGTGCCTGCTGCCCGAGGTCCCAAGATGACACCTGACCCCAGACTCTCCTGCCCTGAGCAGGTTTATAGGTCAAGCCCCACTTAGGAGCCCCTCACCTACCTGCTCAGAAGCCTTACAAAACTGCAATCCAGGCCCGGGATGGTCAGGAGGGAGAGAATCGAGGTGTGGGGGTCCGGGGGTCCTCCTGAAGAGAGCGAGGAGGGGAGAGGGGAGCAGCTGAAGGGCAGCCTGAGCTCCTGGGTTTCCCCTCAGGCTCTGCTCTACCCTGGCACTCCCCTGCCTGCCTCCCCAGAGGGGAGGGGCCTGCTGCCAGAACAGCTTTCAGTTTCATTTCCTGGAAATGGTTGGTTTTCAGGATTCAGCTGCACAGACTTCACATTCGCCTTCGGAGAGGGGAGGAGCTCTGCCTGATGGCCGGCTTAGAGGTCAGGAGTCGCCCGGTCTGACCCTGCTGCCTCCCTGAGCTCTTTCTTGCTCAGATGATGACATCTAACCCTGGCTAATGCCCACCTTCGACCCAGTGTTAGCCAGGCCAGCCCTCTCCGATCCTTCCCTTGCGTCTGGAGAGAAGGACCTAGGTCAAAGTGGAGAGTGCCGAAGGGCATAGGGCTGGGCTTCATGGATGATTGTCCTCCTTTAAGGGCCCTGACCACCAGACTCTTAAAGTCTCTGGTCCCAAGCTCCCTAGATCCCCAAGTCCTAAGGTCTCTGAACTGCAGTTACCCAGACCCCAAAGCTCTAAGATCCCTGGCAGGTACCTGGCCTCCAACTTCCCAGGTCCCCAATCCTTAAGGTCCCTAAACCCTCAGTTTCTCAGTATTCCCAGGCCTGAAGCTTCCAAGCCCCAGGACAGGCTATGAAAATTAGAGAGGAGCCTTCCATCCCAAGAATAAAAGAATGCAAAGGTGGAGGCTTCCTGCTCCCTTTGGGCCTTTGAGAGATCCACTTCAGAGGAACCCTGAAGGAAGGGGTGGGGCTTGTAGCAAAGGGAAGGATGATTTTGCTAGGAAGAGCCAGAGCTGACCCACCAGAGAGCCAGGCCCAGGGATGCCTATAGGAGACAGAATTGAGCAGTGGAGAAACCAGGAGCTGCTGCTGGTAGCAGAAAGAAAACAAAGAGCCTGGGAAGAGTTGGGGGGGGGAGGGTGAGGAGGATTGTGCCTCACTGGTTGACCAGGAGGGTGCCGGTTCTGGAGTGGGCCTGCTGGCGCTTGGAAGAAGCTGTCTTGAAGTGGAGTGAAGTCCAGAGCAGCTTTACTTCAAGGTCCAGACACACTGATTCCAGAGGCCTCCTGGAAAATGAGTATGGAAGCAGCCAAGAAGAACCAAAGCAAAACGGAATGGGTGTGGCCAGCCCTGCTTGTGGGGAGTATGGAACAAGAAACCCAGCCACCCACTGGGTCCATGGTGGCTGCAGGAGGATACAGAACCTGGAGAGGCCCCAACACCTCCACACAGATCTGCACACAAAGTTTGTTAGTTGAGTTGCTCATCTCAAGGGTCATAGCTAGGGCTACACCTTGACCACCTCCCATATCACACCAAGTTGACCCAGACACGATACAAAACACTGTGAACCTAGAAAAACAGATGATCTTATCATCCACTGTGGGGGAACTCTCAAGATTTAGAAATTTCCTGCTTTGTTGATGGAGTCAGGGCCGCAGGGAAGCAGAATGCCCCTTGTGCAGGCAGATTGGCAACCCTGTTTGGTATTATAAGGGATTATATATGCCTTCTCCGTAGGCCAGCAGTCCTGCTTTGGGCAGTTGGGGTCCTCGGACCACTCAGTGTGGTTTAAGGATATTTGCTATAGTCAAAATTGGAAGCAACCCAGATGCCCAGCACCGGGAGACTTGATAAATATGTGGTGGAGTAAGTCCACTGTGACATGCTACAGGAGAGGAGAAATGAAAGGGTTTGGCTGGGGAGATAGCCGTGAAGGTGCAGTGCTTGCCTTGCAAGTGTGATGGCCTGAGTTCCTTCAGGACCTGTGTTTAAAAAAAAAAATAACCAAAAAGGCATAGTGACACACTGCGATCCTAGTATTGAGGCCATAAAGACGGGTGCATCCCTGAGTTTTGACAGCCAGCCAGCCTAGCCTATTTGAGGAGCCCAAGGCCAGAGAGAGAACCCACGTCAAAAATAGCGATAAAACAAGACAGCATGCTCTAGGGGAGCATCACCTTGTCTTCTGGGTTCCATATGCACATCCAAACCCAGGGGCAGGGGTCATCTGTGTGAAAAAAGCAAGGTGCACATAGCATAGCTAAGGGAGTCCTGTATGTGTCTGTGCTGGCCCGTCTCATGTCAACGCCACACAAAGAAGTAGAGGCAACGGGCAAGAAGAAAACTTTTGTTTTTCCCGACAGGGTCTCTGTGAAGCCCTGGCTGTCCTGGATCTGGCCCTGTAGACCAGGCCACCCAACTCTGCCTCCCAAGTGCTGGGATTAAAGGTGTGGGCCACCACCAACCGGCAGGAAAGAGAGAATCTTAATTTGAGAAAAATGTCTTCACAAGGTTGGCCTGTACGCAAGTCTGTGGGTTGTTTTGATCAACGATTGCTGTGAGTTAGCTCAGCTTACTGTGCGTGGTACAACCACTGGGCTGATGGCCCTGGGTGGCGTAAAAAAGCAGGAGGAGCAAGCTAGGAGGAGCAGGCCCCTAAGCAGTGTTCCTTTGTGGCCTCTGCATCAGCTCCTGCCTCCAGGTTTCTGCCGTGAGTGAGTTCCTGCCCCGACTACCCTCAGTGATGGACTGTGATGTGGAGCTGTAAGCTCCGATGGCATCACCACAGGCTAACTTGATGGGTCACCCATGGAGAACTCCCAGGCTCCAGAACTGTGAGTCAAAAACCCATATTTGCTTTTATATTATCCAAACCCGGTGGTTTTGTTGGAGCACCAGAACATATACTAAGATTTTGATGTCTAGGCCTTGAGGAAGCCACTCTTCCACAGGCTAGCTCAGGGCTCAACACCCTTGGTGATCTTGAATGCCAAAGACATCTTTAGCAGGCTATGAATATGGCTAAGGGTTAAAGGTGCTTGCAGCCAAGCCTGATGACTTGGTGAAAGGAGAGCACTCACTCCACATGCTGTGGCATGCATGCAACCACACACATACACTCTTACATGCGTTCTCACAGCCCCAACAAGCAGTAGATTTTAAGGGACAGTTGCCGCCACCCTCTCCTCCCTCCAAATTTCTAAGTGCCTTTCTGTGCCAGTTGAGTCAGCACCAAGGGTATCTCGAAAAAGATAATGATACGAATAAAAAAAAAAGCATTAATGAAGACAACTTTAATGGTTTAGGATGGAAATCATTTGATTTAAACGTGTGTTACAATGAAAACTGAAAGCATAAAAACCCATGAACTAAGAGGACTTGGCTGATTACCTCGGCAGATACTTGCTCTTTGAAAGAGCAAAGTATTTGAGTTGAACATAGGAAGGTGAGCAATTTTCCTACCTCCTCTAAAAATATTAAGTGTTATTACAAAGTGTCCCTACAGTTCCTGCTTTCTAGTGGATAGCTAGAGCCCTAAGCAAAGGGAAGACCCTGAGGCAGCCTGAATTTCACTTGAGGGTAAGCCAGACTCTTCTCAGAGGATTCAGAAGGGAGGGTATAGTCCCTGAGCGCTCTCCTCAGGCAGGCCTTGGTGTTCTTAGCAACTAGTCCAAGGATGAGCCTGTATCTCTGGTGTCTGAAGCCACGGGTGAAAAAGTTCCACAAGCCAAACCACCACGAGGACGAAAGAAACCTGAAGATCATGACCACGACAAAAGACGTCATCAGTCCCAGTCTCCTGTCCATCTTGAGCAAGTCCTGGCTCTGCATGGTCCATGTCCCCGTACTCTGGACCACCTGCTGAAGTGACCCATCATCCACACCAAAGAGTTTCTGGTAGGTTTCCAGAGCCTCCTCAAGGTCAGCAGAATCGTACACAGGGCTAACAGCCACCTCCAGGTGTGTGGTGGGCATCCGATCCTTCAGCATCAATTCCTTACTGCTGATGCTGTCGTCACAGACCTGAGAGAGGGCCTCTAAGGTATCTCTGTACCTGATGCCATCGAGGTCTTTCTGCAGAGTGTGTCTAAGCTCTGGGAAGTCGTGAAAAGAAGGACTAAAGCTGGATAGCAGGAATGTGGGCGGCTCCTTCACCTGCTCCTTCTGGAGATTCTCCTGGATATTCCTTCGGATGCTCTGCAGTAGCTGGGCTTCAGAGAGGGCACTCGTGCTGAGGTCCCTGTCCAGCTTGGTCCAGACAATGTAGAACCTCTTCCCCATCTTCTGCACAGCTTTGGCCAGCTTCACGTGATTCAAGCTGAACTGCTCAGACGCGACGATGATGAAAAGGTCGTAGGTGTGGAACCGCATCTCTTCCATGTATTCCTTGATGCTCTGGGCCGTGGCTCCTGTGCCGGGCAGGTCCCACAGCTCCACGTTGGGAAAGCTGGAGGAGAAGTAACAGGCCGGTACTTGAGTGGTCCTCACCACCCCGGTGGGAGCTGAATCCACCTCCTCGTGTCCAACACCTCTAATAGCATTGATGAAGGATGACATGCCATTGCCGGAGTCCCCGGTCACAGCGATTTTCACTCGGTATCTCGACATTCTCTGCATTACGTCTCTGGCTATATATATCACGTCCAGTAACTTCCCCTCTGCCACAGCCTTACTAATGCCCTCAGCTTCTCTGGAGAAATCGATCTGGCTGCTGTAGGAGGACTCGCCATCAGTGTTGGATTTTGCCTTTGTTATGAAAAGCGTGAAAGCCTGCAAAAGAGAAGGGCCAGAGAGCCAGACTCAGCATGACACGGGAATCCACAGGCGTCAGTCACACACCTGAGCCACGGCTTCCTGACCTGCCAGCAGAGACAGCCAGGGCACCTCACCTGAACGGAGCCCAGCACCCGCTCTGGGATGGGCTGCTCTGCAGCTGCTCAGCCCTTCACGGTGCACTGTGCACCGGACAGCAGGACTGAAAAGGCTTGGACCCGAGCTGCAGAACATCAGCGGGGCCCTTCAGTGGGGTCAGGGACGGGCAGGTCTGACCACCGCAATCACTGTCTACACCCAGCCCACTGTAGTTCTCCTTCACAGTCAAACAGGCAGGTATGGTGGCACCCCTCTTTAATCCCAGCTCTCGGGAGGCAGAAGCAGGCAGATCTCTTTGAGTTCAAGGCCAGTCTAGCCTACACATTGAATCCCAGGACTACAGAGGGAGACCCTGTCTCCAAAAAAAAACAAAAAACAAAAAAAAACAAAGATTAATTTTATATATCTGTATGTGCCTGCATGTGCAAATCTGTGAGTGTGCGTGTGGGCCTATGCATCTGAGTATATGTATGTGTGTGTGTACATGAATGTGCCTGTTTGTGCCCGTGTGTTTCTGTGTGTAGGTCAAGGCTCAATCTTGGGTGTTATTCCTCAGGAGCAACTCACCCTATTTGTTTTTCATTTATTTTAATTTTTTATGTATGTGGGTGTTTTCCCTGTGGGTACATTTGTATACAATGTGTGTGCCTGACACTTTTGGAGGTCAGAAAAAGGGTTGGCTCTCCTGGGATTGGACGGTTGTGAGCCACCACAGGGATGCCAGGAATTGAACCCTAGTCCTCTGAAAGGGCAGCCAGTGCTCTTTACGGCAGCTCTTATTTGTTAGGGCACAGTCTCTCTGCGGAACCTGGGCTTCATTGATGAGGTTAGATTGATTGGTCAGGGAGTCCCAGAGTTCGGACTGTCTCCACTACCCCAGTCCTGGGATTACAAGCCCATTTTGCCACACCCAGCTTTTTTGTTGTTGTTCGTTTTGATTTTGGTTTTCTAGTCGGGGTCTCACTACATAGCTCCGACTGTCCTGAAACTCACTCTATAAACCAGGCTGAGCCAGAACTTGGGAGTTGGATGCGGGAGGATAAGAAGATGAAAGGCAATCCTCAACTACACAGTAAGTCTGAAGCTAGCCTGGACTACATCAGACCCCAAAAACTAATCCTTTCTGTGTGAATCGCCACCAACATTTAAAACTTCGAAACTTGGCCGGTTGCGGTGGTTGAATGCCCTTCACCCCAGCAAAGGTAGGCAAATCTCTGAGTTCGAAGCCAGCCTGCTCTACAGAGCTTCAGGACAGCCAGGGCTACACAAAGAAACTCTGTCTCAAAAACAAAAAGACAAACAAGCAAATAAATACACCAAAACTTCAAAACTCAAGACCATCTCTTTGAGCCACACAGTGTATACCGGGTCCATGAAGAGCGCCCAGGCAGACCCACCTCTTGGGTTCCCCGGAAGCAACTGGACACTTGTCCTGTCCTTACACTGAAGTGCCCAGGTGTCTGCCCCGTAAGACCCACCTGTGGGACCATTTCCAGGGCACAACTTCTGAGTGTTGGTAAGTTTCCTGTAGCGGTCCCACCCAGTTCTCTCCTGGGGTGGCCTTTCCCCTCAGACCTCTGCAGGGATGCGTCCTCCTTTTGTTCCGCTCCTGAGACAGGTCCAGCTCCACTCCCCAAACACTGCCTGCTGCTACTTACACTTTCGCTGGGTCTGAACATGACCTCCACACGGAGGGGATCAGCCAAGAGCCCCCACCTGTGTCTGCAGACTCACCCCGCTCTTTGCAAGCCTCAGTTTCCTGAGGGTGTGTTGGGCAAACCATGCTACCCACCTTCCAGACCATCTGTGGTAACATCATGACTGAATCCATGGTATGCTCTCTCCACAGCTCTCTGCTGTCTGGCTGACAGCTCGGTAGTCTCAGCTCAGAGCTCTGGGCTGGTACTCCTCTGGCTCTTCCTTCTCCCTTCCACGTTAGGCAGTATGAAGGTCTGCGGGCCTGGACCTTGAGGGTCTCTTACAAGCCTTGTGATCTTCTTCAGAACTAGAAAAACGATAGTGCGACACCTGATTGCGGGTAGAGAAAGATATTGTTAGAAATAAATAAGGAGCTCTCTCTGCCATCTTTCTGAGCCACAGTGGTGTGCGTGAGTGTCCCGGCAGGTGCTCTCGAGAGCGTCAACGATGCTGAGAAGAGAGGCAAATGCCAGGTCTTCATCAGGCCATGCTGCAAAGTCATCATTCAGTTCCTAGCTATGATGATGAAGTGTGGTTACTTCGGTGTCTTTAAATCATCGATGATCCCAGAGCTTGGAAAATCACTGTGAACCTCACAGGCAGGTTGAACAAGTGTGGGGCGATCAGCCCTAGATTTGATGTGCAACTCAAAGACCTAGGAATATGGCAGAACAATCTGCTCTCGTCCATCAGTTCAGCTTCATTGTACTGACAACCTCACCTGTCATCACGGACCATGAAGAAGCAAGACAAAAATGCACAGGAGGGGGTTAGGGGTTGATCTAGGGCTGCTGTGTATTCCAGTCCTAAATAGTGGGCCCCACCATTTGCTTGCAGTCCAGACCGAGCACATTCTCACATACACCAAGTGATGGTGTGTAAACTTTGCTCCCCAGTTATCTCTGATTGGTTGATAAAGTTGCTGACAGCAGAATAGAGGTGGGCAGAGCTTTGGTCCACAAGCTGGGGCTCTCAGGTAGGAACCCTGAGGCAGAGGATGGAAGCAGGTGAAGAGAAGAGAGGAAGGAGAGAAGGAAGAAGATGGAGAGACAGGACATGGCCTGATGGAGCTGATCCAGACTGGACAGGAAGACATATTGACAAGTAACCTCAGGAATGCAGCTGGGAGATAGCCAGAGTAGCTTAGAAAATTAGTTTAAATCATACCTGCCCAGCTACTGTGCATAAGACTTGTTTAAACAAACCAATAGGTCTCTGTCTCAATTATTGGGGCTGGTCAGGTCATAGAAAATCCCTCTAGAGTATAATAAATATTCAGTAACACACACAGGAGGGAAAAATCTTAGGATTCTTTTTCTAGAGATATAAAACACATAACTAAAAAGACTCTGTGGACTGTGTGAGAGAGAGAAAGAGAGAGGGAGGGAGGTCTGGAATTACAAAAGCAGTTCCTGATTATTCTTCTGTTTGCTATAATGCCCACTGCAATCCTCCATATGGATCCAGATCTCTTTAAATACCCTGGGGGAAGGGGGGAAGGGAGATGGCTCAATGGGGAAAGCACTTGCCTCTCGAGGGGGCAGGAAGATGTGTGGGAATCCCCTGCACCCACTTAAAAGCCTGATTCAACACCTCATGCCTAAAACACCCCCTGTCAGGGATGCAGAGATAGGAAGATCCCAGGGGGCTCGCTGGCCAGACAGTCTAGCCACAGGGTTCACTGAAAGAGTTTAATGACTGAGGAAGACATCTTGACCTCAGCCTCTGTGTTACACGCACAAACACACATGCACTAGCAAGCAGAGTCACGTGTGCACACACCCACTCTCACATGTACACACCCACAAATGCACACACACACACACACACACACACGTGAAACACGGTCTCACAGCTGCATGAAAGGGTCTTATACACAGTTCATGTCGCTGACCTTTGGTCTGCTCTATGTTACTGTGTGCTGTCAAGTTGTGTATTATTGTATTCTCTTCCAAAAGATTGAAGATGAGTGCTGGTGCCCTGATGAAGAGCCAGCTTCTCCAGTGGAGATTTTTTTAAAAAGTACTTAACTGAGTTAGACAAAAAGTTCACTTAAGAACCAAGCCTTCCATGTCAGGAGTCCTAGACCCTGTGTGTTCCACATGAAGAACAGATACACTTACGTAATCCCTGACACTCTGTTTTTGCCTGTGGGAAGTTCTGATCCTGGGCTCTGGCCAGTGGCTGAGAGACTGAGTAAAATCCCACCCACTTTCTCCAAACCAGGCCCCATCAGAAGACCCACAAAGCCAGGGATGCCCAGGGAGCATTGCCTCCCTACAATGGTGAGTTGGAAGGACTTGGTGCAGCCAAAACACCAGGCACCCTGTGGTCCTGAAGACAGTCAGGGAGGGTGCCTGCTGCCCGAGGTCC